GAATACTGTGTACACGTTTGTTATCATTTTTCCTGTAAATTAAAAACCTCGTTTCCTATACACACCTTGTTACTTTTCATCAAATTGTAAGTCGAGTTCTTCTCAGTGAGATAAGAGATATCGGGCGCGACGACTTTCAGATGATCTACTTTGGCGAGCCATTTTTCATGGTGCCCTTCCTGTATCCATGTTTCATTTTCCATCGTCAATTTCAAGGTTTCCTTCAGTTCCTCGAATAAACTGTGTATCTGGTAATTTTCACGGTATTTATTGTCTTACGAAAATGTTCTCGAATTAATTCTGGTATACACGAATCGAGTCTTACTGTTTCATTCATGTAGTGGAGCTCGTCACTCGAAAAAGTGGAGATGTATAAACTTGAAGCGTCCGGAATTAAAAGATTGGCGGCCACGCGAAGACAGTATTTCTCCCTGTCTTCGTTTCGCTTCGACAGAACCATCTGAAGAACGTTCATTCAAAAGTGCATAATCGATCGCGCGAAAATGTTACCGTTTACCTGCTGATAAATCTGTTGCGCGTACAATCCTAGCAAGGCGTTGTTTAATTCCATCGGGTTTTCGGATCCGAACGTTTCGAGGTTCTTGAATCCCTTGTTCAGAGCATTGAAAAAGTGTATTTCTATAGTTGCGTTTCCAGCGATTTCAACTTCACTTTCCATCAAGAGTTTAACCAACTTCTTCCAGTTTATCTATAAATAGCGTACGCACTTAATGAAATAATATTTCCCTCAATCATCTCTATATCGATAAAATTCAATCGACCGCTCAACGATTACAGACGTTTTCGTCGAGACGAAAGACAGACTGATCTTGAGCGAGCAATTAACTTTATTAATTGTATTTAATTAGAAATGTGGAACTTCGTCTCACGATTTTCCAATTAGCTGCCATATTATCGAATTTACTACTGCTGACTTCTTCTTGAAGATGCGGCTCGCGAATTAGTTCCTTGGGTGGAAAATTCTAAAACACAAGTATTTTTCATTTAACTTGTTACTAAGTCAGTCTGGATCGCGTTAAAGGTCACCAAGACCGTATCTCGAAAAAAGCTTCAATAATTGTTGTGAAACTCCGGGTTGCTTACCATAAGAAAGTTATTCACGATTTCAACGTCGATGTTGAAGACCGTAGTTTGCACATACTGGCTGATGTTGTACTGGTTGCCTAATTCGTCGAACACGCCGAGCGCTGTCAAGGCGTCCGCGATGGACTTTATAAACTTTGTTGTATTGTGCTGACAAAGATAAGAGGAACAATTCAGAACATATCTGACAGTGTGATTTAGAATCTAGTGCCCTTTCTTAACGAAGTAGCAAAATTTTTGTCATCGGCATCTAGTGATAGTACCAAGTATACCAGCTTGACAGGTGCGCGAGTATGTACAAGGGCAAACGAGTACTCGAGTACTAAGTAGTTCACTAAAAGCCTGATAATGGATATTCGAATCTTGTACAAGTATTTCGCTTATTTATTTTTTATACCTGTACACGCGTGTATAAAACCGATGAAGTTCGAATATCACCCGAAAACTATTTGATATTTATCGAGTTCAAAGTTATTATAAGCATAGCTGAGTAAGAAACGATACCCAAATGTTGCACTCAACATTTAAAATATCACGTTGAATAATTACGATGCTTGTGTTCATTGAGAAAACATGAAGAATTCGCTCATCTCTGCTTATAAGAATAGTTGCCAAGTTACCGATCGAATCCAATAAAACGAATTACAAATACTGAGTATTTATAAATTTGGACTTTGCTATCAATCCATAATACATATCCGTACTTTGCACTGTGCGTATTCTTTGTAGAGCTCCTTTAGATCTACCGTTTCTTGGTCCCTTTTTTGCCAGCTGGCGTAACAAGAATTCTCCTCTGTCTCGAATGGACTACTGTACGTGGTAGGGCCTATCTTCAGTGTGAACTGATTCGGATGTTTCTTGTCGAGTATCGGAGACACGTCGAATAACAACGGACTGAAAAATTAGACGAATACGTAATATTTTTGTACGGTTGTCAGCGTGTTAATCTAGTACCTGTTATATAACAACATCTGGGCAACTAATTCGGTGAAGTGCACGTTGCTCCTATCGAAATTGTCGGCAGTATAAAATTTTCCAATACGGTCCAACGCTTTCCTCGCTGTATCAAAGATACTGTACCATTAATTATTGTATATTAAATGCGTATTGAAAGTTAGAGAAAGATCGGTCGCCATTCACACACCCTCGCGTATCCTCTCCGTTTGGTTCACGTCCTCGTATTGCATGCAACTGTTGTAGTATGTGATGAACAAGGATGTGTTGCCGGCATTCATTTCCTTTTCCATTTGCCCTGACAAAGATTCAAACATTGTACAGGCTGTCCTATTTGAATCTTTCTACGCAATTTTCTATCGACTGATTTATTACTCGCAAAAAAAATTTTCCAAAAGGACGATATATTCCGAGGAAGACATCTTACAATGAACGCAAGTTTGGTCTATGTGGAACTGACTCTAAGGACTTAAGGTGACCTTTTAAGGTGTAGCGCGTTTTAAGCCGATGCCTGGATAAATTCCATTTAAGGAACCAAAGAACACTTTGAAATCTTAGAGAGTTGCCAGGGGATAATTAAAATCTCGGGAGAAATTGCGTGAAAAGTTATAATGGGACACCATGATTTTTGAAAATCAACTTTTTCTTATCAATGATATAAACAAAAAACATACTCTGTATACGTTGATAAGCTACTTTTTCGGAATCCAGGTTCACGGTCTGCGGATTCGCCTCGAAACTGCCGCAAGCGTACTCATAGAAGTCCTCGCACGGATCAGCCGCATGGTTCATGTAAAACAGCATTTTGCTAGCTAAATTTTTACATTCGCTTGTTGTGCACACTTCCCTTTTTTCTTTATGGCTGGAGGTAGTAGCAATTGTAGCATTCGTGGTAGTCGCGTATTGTGTAGTCGTCGTTGAAGGGATAGTTGTTGTTATCGTTGAAGAAGCTTCAGTTATAGGGGTAGTTGAAATTATAGATATTTCTTCACTTTCGGTTGTGGAATCAGTAACGATATCTGTGTCAGTCCCAAGATCGCGGGAAGGATTTGTAACCGTGACAAATGTTGAATGCGTGGTAATAATTCCTTCTGTAGTTGTAGAAGGGATAGTTGCAGTTGTCGTAGAAGTGCTAGTTGTAGTTGTAGGTGGAATGGTTGTAACTGTCGTAGAAGCGGTAGTTGTAGAAGGAATGGTCGTAGTTATCGTAGAAGCGGCAGTTGTAAAAGGAATGATCGTACTTGTCGTAGAGGCTTCAGTTATAGGGGTAGTTGTACTTATAGATTTTTCTTCACTCTCGGTTGTGGAATCGGTAACGATATCTGTGGCAGTCCCAAGATCGCGGGAGGGATTTGTATCCGCGACAAATGTTGAATCCGTGGTAATAATGCTTTCTGTAGTTGTCGTAGAAGCGGTAGTTGTAGAAGGAATGGTCGTAGTTATCGTAGAAGTGGTAGTTGAAAAAGGAATGATTGTATTTGTCGTAGAAGCTTCAGTTATAGGGGTACTTGTAGTTATAGATTTTTCTTCACTTTCGGTTGTGGAATCGGTAACGATATCTGTGACAGTCCCAAGATCGCGGGAGAGATTTGTATTTGTGACAAATGTTGAATCCGTGGTAATAATGCTTTCTGTAGTTGTTGTAGAAGGAATAGTTGTAGTTGTAGGTGGAATGGTTGTAACTGTCGTAGAAGCGGTAGTTGTAGAAGGAATAGTCGTAGTTATCGTAGAAGTGGGAGTTGTAAAAGGAATGATTGTACTTGTCGTAGAAGCGGTAGTTGTAGAGGGAATGGTTGTACTTGTCGTAGAAGCGGTAGTTGTAGAAGGAATGGTTGTAATTGTGGTAGAAGCTGTAGTTGTAAAAGGAATGATTGTACTTGTCGTAGAAGCGGTAGTTGTAGTTGCAGGAGGAATGGTTGTAGTTGTAGAGGGAATGGTTGTACGTGTCGTAGAAGCTGTAGTTGTAGGAGGAATAGTTGTACTTGTCGTAGACACGGTGGTTGTAGAAGGAGTGGTTGTAGTTGTAGAGGGAATGGTTGTACTTGTTGTAGCAGTAGCTGTAGTTGTAAAAGCAATAGTTTTAATCGTGGTTTCTTCTTCTCTTCCAGTTGTAGAATCGGTAACAACACTTGTGGTAGCTTCCGATTCGGGTGTTGAATGCGGAGTAGTGGGAAATTGTATAATAGTAGAATTATGTTGAGGCACAGAAGGCGTTAATATTTCTTCTGGAAAGTATATTTTGTCATCTGGCACTGAGGATGTTAATATTTTTGCCGTAGTGGTTGACGTGCTTAAGAATCTTTCAGTTTTAGTGGAATTACTATGCTTTTCTATAATTTTTGTAACAGTAGGGACGTCAGCCGTCGTTTGATGTTCGCTATGATGATGCTGATTATGCAGTCCCTATGTTTTTATGTAATATTAAGTTGTTTTGTTTGTCATAATTTTATTTAATACATTACGTACCTCTGCAGATTTCTGATGCCCATTCTCGAAATTGGTGTTGTAACTATAATTCTTCCTCCATGGAAGTGAGGCGAGGATGAGTATTATACAGAGAAAGAGAAATATCACTAATGATAAAAGGCAACTCCTATAAGATTGATCTCGTTGAGCTGCTTTGCCCTCCTCTAGATTGGTGACATGATACACCCCACGCGACATTATTTTCAATATGATTTTTTCACGGTTTCTTATACTATACTTTTGAGAACACTTCCACCGAGAACTGTAAAATAATAACTGGTCGTTTAACAGAACAGAAATATCGTACCGTTTCTCCTGCAGTAGTGATTAGAAGTTAATGTTAAAAAGGAGGTGATGATTGCAGTATCACTAACCACATCCTGATTAGTTATCTTATGATTTGAAGCGCATAGCCAGGAAGTATAATAACGCTTATAACTTTCGTCAAGGAGGCACGTTAGACGGAAAGTCAAGGAAGTGTCCGTTGGGAATTGGTTTTAAATAAAATTCAATTGTTAGATTGATACAAACACCATTTCTTTTACATACAACCATAAATTCCAAACGACCTAAGGAAGGCGACATTAAAAATACTTAAGATAGATATAAGTTACTTATATTAATATATTTTATAATACAATTATCACAGATATGTAAACTACAAAATATTATATGCTATTATAAAATGCAACTTGCAGTTTGCCAATGATCCCATTGCACGTACTATGACAACTTATCTACACTCTAGACTATTATTATAATTTAAATACAATTAAAAAATATATTTAAAAACTCTATTCGCCTATCTGTTGTACCGAATATGTATCAATGTTGCGTTTGATTTCATTGTCCGCTGCATCAGATCTCATGAATGCCTCAATCGTTGAACCCATTTCTTTTGATACAGAATTATTCTCTAATTTTTTGGTACATGTTTCGTCTTTGTAGTCGTCAGACTTGAACGTTTCGGAGGTAATCTAAAAAGAGAACATGAAATTAACAAAATAAATAACTAAAAATTCGAAATTAACTGACAATGCGATCAATACACAAGCTTAAATCCATTACTTTTCTTTGTATATCATCAGCCTTAAATTTCTCTAATTTCTCTTTATCAGCAAGTCCAATCGCAGTCTTTGATGATGTTTGTCTCTTTGGAGTAGGTTTTCTTGGCTTAAATGATCCAGAAGCTTTCTTAGGTAACTGTGAACTTGTGTGCTTCTTAGACTCATTTGACTGATCACAATTATGAGTGAGTAACTGCTCTTTAGTTTTAAATGCCTAGAATGAATGTATATTTCAATGAACAAGTTTCTACTTCAAATTGTGCTTTCTATCATACTATAATCGATAAAACACTCACGTGCGAACAAATATCGCATTTCAAACTATGTTTGTTCATCTCGTGATGCTTGAGAGCTTGTGCCCGATGAAAATTACGATTGCAATGACTACAACTAAATCTTTTGATATTGCTATGCGTCAAAAGATGACGCTTTAATTTATCAGGACGCGAGAATTCACTCATACAACCTAAGTACCCTCTGAAAGGGCATTTTAACCTTTTGGTAAGATCATGGATCAACATATGACGGCCCAGACGATCTTTTCGTTTAAATCTGGCTGGACAATGCTATTGGAAAAAAATAAAATTATGTATTCCAAACACACAAAGAAATTTTACAATTTTCAAGGCAATTGTAAGATCACTTACAGGACATAAAAACGGTGTCTCCTCGCTATGTATTAACTTATGATTGGCTAGGTATTGCTCAGTTTTAAAGGCCTTTCCACAATCCTCGCATGCAAATCGAGCGGACGAGGCGTGTGTTTTTAAATGACGCCGTAAAAATCGTTCGATTAAGAAACTTTTACCGCAATGTAGACAAGCATAATCGTGCGTTGTAGTTTCTGTATGATGTTGTAAAGCCTCCAGATTAGAAAAGGAGGATTTACAAACAGAGCAGCAATAATATTTTTCTGTTGTCTTTTGCTTTTGGACGGAATGGGCATACTGATGAAGCCCAAGATCAGATAGAGTGTTGAACACTTCACCACACACATGGCAACGATATTCTGATCTCTTATGACTACGCGTATGCTCCAAAAAATCTTCCAGCTCGGAAAACATCATGCTACAACTACTCTGCACGCATTTGTACACTTTCAGTGCTAAATGAGAGACTATAAGGTGGCCCTTTAGAGCTTTGTACGAATCAAATATTTCTTTACAAAACTGACAGTGATAGGTACGATCTATACTTCCATCTGGTGGTGCCTAACAATAGTTATAGGATTAAAAGAAGGAAAAACGTGACGAAAGTAATTGCGAAGTTTGGCCACAGTGCTTAATATACCTCAGGGGGTAGGGAGTGTATGGCAGTGCCAGGCCACACTTTGTGGGATGACATGTGCTTCTTCACATTGGATTTTTGTGCGAATGCACGTCCACATACAACACATTGATATGGTTTTTCCCCTGTGTGAGAGCGCTCATGTTGCTGCCAATAAAATTTTTTTGCGAACTGCTTGTTACAATAACTACACTTGTACTGCAATAAATCATTTTAATACAAAAAAAATAAAAGAATCCAAACTTAAGAATCATATAAATTCACCAAAGTACATACTTTTAAATTTTGTGTTTGATTATTAGAGGTGTCTAATTCCATTGAAAGATTTTCACTAGATATTGATAAATCAACCGTTTCTAAAGTATTAGCAGCTTGCTCCTGAGAGATATCACTTGGTAGAACTTGAGGTACTTCGTTTGAATCATCTTTCATAGGCTCATTGTCTGTTGGAATAGTAGAGTTTGCAAAAGTATCCAAACTTTCTGAACTCAATATAATTGGAACACTAAACGTGGAATCTGTTGTAAAATAACTAGCACCCTCTTGGTCCATGCTGCAACCAATATAAGATATATTGTAAAATTTCATTGCACGTTAAACCATCAATTATTTGTAGCTAACCTAAAAAGCATGTCTGATTCTTCGAGTATAATTGGCTCACTAAGTTGATCATTTTGAACAAATGTTTCTTGTGGATTATATTGTGATGCATCTTGGTCGTTATCTTCTTGGTGAACAGCTTGATTATCATCATTTACCAAAAACTGACTCAAATCTATGGTTTCTTCTTGTGTTTTTTGATGAGTCCTTTTGTGCAATACAAACATGTGCAACGATGTAAACTGACTTTTGCATTTTCCACATTGAAAGATATCTTCTTCATCCTGATCAATTGCTAAATAAAAAATATAACAGATTTTATTACAAATTATTATTGTAGAGGCTATGGTGAAGTAATGAATCACCCATTAATAGGTTATCAAAGTTCAGAAAAAAATCTACCTGACTGCTCCACCTCAGTTATTAGAGTCTGGGACTCTAATAAAGATTGTACAGAAGGACTGTCCAGCGACACGCCTACGAGAAATAGAAAGTAACAATGCTGAACATCTTAAATGTTATCGTAATTTTCTCTCAGAAAGAAAGATAAATAGAATACTTGTTGGTTAACCCCACCTATTTCTACAGTAGAAAAGTATTACCTGTTAGAGCGTCGAAAATCGATTGCGCCATATTTTTCGATAATCTTAACGACTCATTTTAAACGAAACCAACGATCAGGCCTCTCATGAGTCGTTCAATATGAAGAAAACGAGGAAATACCAAGTCGAAAACATACCGAGAAATTCTACGCCCTGGCAGCGTTGTTGCTGACCAGACCAGCGAATGATAATCGATATGTCGACTGCTGAGAACGATTCTAACCTCAGCTGGGACAAGTAGTATTGCAGCGCCAATATTAAGAAAGCCAGAGTGTGGAACAGGTTATACTTATCTACAAAAGACGCCGAATATTGTGATCGTACGAAAAGTGTGAATATTGTTTTCGAGTATTTCTTTGGAAAAAGATTAGGAAAAATGGCAGCAGTATTGCGTGTGAAACGTAGACACGATGACGAGCCATTAAATGCACTGTTAATTGCATGTAAACGAATGAAAACTTCAGAAAATGAAGAAGTTGAAGAATCGACTACAGCTAGTCCACTAACCACAGTTGTTAAGTTCGCTGGAACTGTTAAAAATCAGGTAACATTTAAGAGCAATTCATTAATGTTCTTAAAAATTATTTAGGAGCATATATACTTTATATTTCAACTTCTTTTAATAGGAAAGTAATGTTGTTGAACACTTGATGCAAACTTTGAATAAAGATAAACTGAAGGAGACTTTCAAGCAACATCCGGTGGATATTATAAATAAAATTCGAGAAAAGGCTAAACTAGCTTCAGCAGAAAATCGTTATAAAGTAATCAGTTGTATTAGATCTTTGGATAATGCCAAGCTTCAAACATTTGAAGACAAGATCATGACAGTGATAGATGTAGAGGATTCAGTTTCTTGTGCTAATGGAAAAGAGCAGGCTATAGAAAAAGTAATTGTTAATTGATTCCTTTATATTTATTGTAATTGATCCTTATTTAATATTAATAATGTTCTATAGGATGATGATTATGTATATGATTTGTACTATGGGCAAACTGAAGATGAAGTTTATATAGACGATAAGGTATCTGTGCACCCATTTGATCAAGAATTAGTATTTGAGACTTACAGGGATTATCAAGAGGCTGAATACGAGTCAGAGGATTCTAACTCTGAATCGAATTGGAGGAATGATTATCCTGATTCAGATCACTCTGGAAGTTCAATCGATGAAGACTGTATGAGAGAGGCTGTTCTGAACATGAGGTCAGGCGAAGATTCTGATTTATCAAGCGACGATGATTTTGTTTATGCATACAGTGAGGCAGATGTAAATGCTTATGGTTACAAATATGCAAGGTATAAAGCAAAGATGCAGGAAGAATTTGGCGAAGACAATTCTGATAATAGTAACTCTGATAATAGTAATTCTGATAACAGTAATTCTGATAACGAAGAATGTGGAATTAACGAATCAGATAAATTAGATTCTAGTGGGTTTTAATATTAAGTTTGTTAGTGATATTGTCATATATTTAAATTAGAAGAATACGAGGTATCACAGATGAAATGTATATATAAGTCTTTTCTATTGCATAAGTATGAATAGCAAAACATGACTTCAGTGTAATTGTTCTTTGCTATAACTATTTTTGTAAAGTCCCAAGTCCTATTCAACTTAAAATAATTTCAGTAAGTAAATAAATATGTCTTGTTTTGTACTGAAAATGTTTTTTTGTTTTAAATAGATTTACATTTAAATTGCTATTATTTTCTTGCATTAGAAATAAGGATCATAAAGGTCTTAGAATTTTATTTATGTTTATATATTTATTACATATTTATATAGATATATTTTGCGTGTAAAATTCATCTATCAAAATAAAAATAATAAAAATAATCCTAGGCGTCAAAGTGACAGAGGAGGGTGTATAGGTATTTAGAAAAAGAATCGTTTTCATCGACGATATATGGCATATAATAATACACCAGATTTATAATGTATAACAAATTGATTGGAAGTACCGGATAGAGATTTACAAGTGTTCGGCAATAAAGTATAGGTAGCTTCTTCGTGATGCGTTATCAAATCATTTGTATTTATTTTTAAATGGAATATCGTGAGTCCTGCGCTCCTTTAGACAACGATTAGCGAGAATACAGGGATCTGTAAATAACATAACAGTTGTTTTTATAAAAGTATCCGCGAATGGTTCGCTTTTATCTGGCTACGCTACTCGTCGAAATACGAGAAATAATTTTACATGTAACTGAGATTTTTGGAGATGCTGTCGTAGCTTGACAACGTGCGCGCATCAATGTTCTTTTTCTCGTCGTCCAAGTCTCGCACGAGGGAGAAAAATTGATGCCATCAACGAACTCGTTTATATATATATATATGATATGAATAGTACGCTGCGTATACGTGTAACACTGGCCTTAATTCTAATTTTTACATTTACGCGCTCGCCACGAGCAGCCGCTTGTTCACCAAGCGACGTACACGCGATGAATTTTTGATTGTATTTTAAAGAAGCAAATGCGTTGGTAGAAGAATCCAATTGTACAGCGAATCCTGAATTCGTAGGGAGATTTTCATTCCTTCGAGACGATTAGCATTACTACGTGGATATCCCCGAAATCTTTATGGCAGTCTATGGATACATTTATCAACGTACTTACTCCCCCAGTATGTATGAGCGCGATTTATAGATATTAAGTCACTTTTATTCATATTTATATATTTATATATATTATATATATTATATATAAATTATATATATATATATATTATATATAACATATATATATAATATATAATATATTAAATGTCATATTGCAACTTAGCGTTTTCACAAGCTTGAGATTGGTATCATTCGGGATAATTACTATCGTTCCGGTAATACTCTACTCATCTACTGTACAACATTTTACACTCATCTTTATTATCCGTAATTCCCTAGGTATGTCGATTAATTAGTTACAGCTACGAGATTATTGAAGAGTCATGAGATTGCACACCTTTGTAACAGCCGGCCGAGGCTTTCCGTACCAATCACATTTTCGCTCACAAACCGCAACCGCGATCCCTCATGCACAGGGTCATGTCTCATTCGGCAGCCTCACTTTGGTATACTTCATACAAAACTTCACGCACAGCTTTACCTTCGAATTCAATCGTTCCAAAGCGAATTACCTTCTCAAAGAAAAACACTACTAACCACGACCGCCTGAATGTCGCCGCTGTTGGAACTTTCAGCGTATCCTTTCGCAGTTTCGTGTCCACGCACGCGTATGTACACGTCGGATGAATCAAGTTATAAGTACAAACAATTCCCTGGATCAACAGAAATCACACAACGGTAGTCAACTAAAACGGATAGTCGATAATTCTATCATATATATTTATATATATATATATATATATATATTTATAAACTGGCAACAATTAACAGTCCCGTCAGGTTAATCCTAATGGCTACATTCGAGGAATGATCACCGTGGACACCTTGTATCATCGAGAGTCCTTAAAGTACGGATGCTTCAGTCCTGCCGCTCGGAGGCGTCGTGGTGTGGCTGCTCGAGTTATTGTTATTATTGTTGTTGTTATTGTTGTTGCTCGCTTCCCCGGCATGGCTCGAACAGTAGAACTTCTTGTGAGCTATGAAGGTGCTTAGATAGTTGAAGCTGATGTCGCATGATCGACAGTAACGGGGACCACTTTTGTTGGGGTCGAGGCTTTCTTCTGGTGGCGGTGTATCCTCGCGTTCCTGTTTCACTTTGTTCGTTACCGTTGGAGGTGGTGGGGGTGGTGGTGGCGGTGGCGGTTGCGGACTCTTCCGAACTTCGGTCTTACCGTTCACTTGCACCTCTGCAGGGATCTCTTCGGGCGTCGTAGCTGGAGCCGGTTCCGGCGTCGGGAGGACCGTTTCGTCGTCCAACACACACGTTATATAGTTTTCCTCCTGAAAAAGAAGCAACTTCGTCCGTTAGGGAAAGGAATTTTCTGGAATATTTATAATTGATATTCTCTTGGATTAGGCAATTTATTAATATATTGACCAACTCCCATCCTAAAACTTACAGTTCCAATTCGAAAGGCTCAATTTGGTGTTTAATGTCACTGTTTCCTCACCTGCAGGTCGGTTCCCCGTTTTTCAAAGTGCATTTTTATATGCGTTCTCATGCCACGCAACGTGTTTCCTTTGTAACGACAAATCGTGCATCTGAAAGCCTTGACACCCTGATGAGCATCCATGTGACGTTGGGCGGCACCTGCTGTGGGACTAACCGCACCGCACACAGGACATCTCCAGCCACCGGTTGTGCCGCTGGTACACGTGTGGGTAGATCCAGATTCAATTATGGCCTACGCAAAAAAAAGAACAATGATCAGGTTTAATAATCGTCACTATCGTTCATAGAGAAATGAATAGACGATCACAGATTACTAACCTTGCACTTAGTGCATCTCGAGTGATGTTCTTGCGGTTCTGGCCTCTTGGGACAGTAAAACGCTTGATGGGCCACCAAATTGTCCATAGAAGTAAACTTTATACCGCACGCGGCGCATATCAACTGAACCAAAGGTGGCGAAGGTGTACCTGGTGGTGGTGGACTGTTGCTAACTGTGGTTTCTCTTGCCTGGCAATAATGTTTTTTATGAACGACGAAGTTTTCGTGACGGCAAAAAACTATGTTGCATTCTTTACATCTGCAAATGAAAAAAATTATTAGTGTCACTTAATAGAAAGCTTTGTACTTGTGTTTTTAAGGTATTCACTAGTCTAATTACTTGGAGACACCCTGTTTGACGAGGACTCCAGGGACAGGTGGTGGTGGCAGTTCTGCCAGTCTTTGAGCAAGCTCTGTCGGTGGTGGTGGTACGATAGTGCCAACCGGTGTCGGAGCAGAACCGATTGACCTGGCCCTGGGACTACCGCTACCCCTAGATCTGGGGCTGCCAGGTGGCGGAGGCAGAGAAGAAGGAGCTGGTGAAACTCTGTTCTCCTTTTCATCCTGATGTGCCGGTGACTTCCGTACGCTCAGGTCTAGCGGTACCGAGCCAGGTGGCGACGTGGACGATGCTACAACCGATGCTGGCGTTGTTGGCTTGTTTGCTACTCGAAGAACAGGCGGAGGCTCAACGACAGTGTTGGGAGCCGTTGTAGCGAGACCTCTCGTCATCGGCTGAAGATGACCTGTAACCAAACGAGAACGATTCTTGTATCTACTCCCTCGATGGCACTGTTTTCATGAAAGTAATTAACCAGTTTATCCACAAACCATTTGGCAGGAGGAAGCACGCGGTATCAGGAGCAGGTAGAGTTGGCGCGGCCAACACGCTAGCTCCCCGGAAAAGAGAGTACGGTACTATGAGAATCGGATTGGTAGGCAATGCCAAGCAGGGCTGCGGCGGTGGAGAATCCCCGGGACTTGCGCTCGTAGGAGGCGATGCCTTTACCGACGAGGACGCGGCGCTTGCCGGCGGTGGTGTGTCCTTGACTACATGCCTGGTGCTGCAATAATGAGTCTTGTGAGCTCTGTACGTCTTCAGCGAGCTGAACCTGATGTCGCAGTTTCTACAATATCTCTCCGCCTCTTCGTTCAATGATCCATTGGAAGCCGTTGTAGCGCCGGTCGCCGGTGTTGTAGCCACAGCCGGCACCGTCGGTATCGTAGGCGGAGCCGGCGATGCCGCGTGCATTCTCATGTGCCTGTTGAGGGACACCTTTTTATCCGCGCTGTACGAACAATGCGGGCAAGCGTACGCCTTCCTGACTTCGAATTTATTCGACTTCTCCTCGTCCTCGTCGTTCGCGGTTTCCTCTTCGAGCCGTGGACGATGCGCGCAGTAGAAGGTGCGGTGAGCTTCAAGAGTGCTCGCTGAACTGAATCGAATACCGCAGGGTGGGCAGATGAGGGGTGCTGGCCTAGCTGGTTCCACTGTGATCGTCTCCTTGCCGTCGGTCGGCAGCACGTACAACCGACCTGAAGCGATCGCTGAAACGTTTATCAATTCTTTAATGTCAACACTGTAAAACATGAGCTTCTTAATGGAAGTAACTTAGCACAGTTATGTACACTTAAGAAACTCATCAAAGTCAGGCTAAAGGATGAATGAATCATTGTGTAAGCCTAGTTTTATCTTACAGTGGGAACTAATACTGAATACCAGTAGACCTTTACGAAACCATTGAAAATTACCATTTTGTAGGCCAGCTGGCAGTGGCGGTACAGGATTCGGCGGCGAGGTATTTTCTGATTTGATGGTGAGCGCGGCCACAGCGGCAGGTCGAAGAGCGGGATCCGTCGCCAGACTAGCATTGAGTCTCAGTCTTGGTGCTGCTTCGTCGTCGAGCTTCAGTTTCTTCTCTGACGGTGGATCATCCGCGTTTGACCGCCTCGACGAGTCCTCTGAGTCTCTCCTGCAGACGGAATCTCTCCTACGGATCGAGGAGGACGAGGACGACGACGACCGCGGCAGACAATCCTCTTCTTTAACCACGATCATCGTCTCCTCGTCCGTGTCTTTGGGACTCGACTCGCGGTTCTGATTCGGCTTCGAGGTAGCATGTCGGTCCCTCGAGCTCCTGGTAACCTACAGATAAAGGAGAATCGGACGGATTAACATATCCGCGATTCCAGGATCTATCGTTCCTATCGTTATCTCGTTGTTTATCGGTTTTACCTCGATATCTTCGGTAAGACTAGCCAGCCGTTTCCGAGCGTCTTCGGAGAGCACGCTAAGCCTCAATCTGATATCCTCCGCGGTCGAGTTCGCGATCGAGACCGACGAGGACGGTGGATTCAGTCTCGGCGGTGGCGGAAGGCTTGATTCCTCCTCGACGACCGGCGCGATCGGGCTGGAAACCGCTGATCCACCGCCGTCCACGCCACTGCTTACCGACGGTGTCTTCTCCGAGTCGCTCCATTCCTCGTCCTCCCCTGCAAAAGAACAAACCGAGTTAGAACAGAGGTAACGTATCTTCCGTGATCATCCTTCGTCAACCGTATCCAGATTAACAAGCGTTAACGAAAGAAAGATGTCTAAAAGACACGATATAAACGCGATCTCGAAAGCAAGAAGATATATTTGAAATGTTATCTTTATTATTCCTCGTACATTTCTTCAGCGCACCCCAGCGACGATCTGCCTCCCGTGAAACGACCATAGCGGATCCACGTGGCAGGGACGCGGCCGGTTCGCCGTAGCCGGAAGTCGAGGCGAACGGAAGAAAAGTAGAAAGAAAAAAGTGCCGGCACACGCACGATCAACGATGCGTCCCTATGGCCGTACGGCTCCCTAATGGTCGCTCGCCACGCCAGCCTTTGCGTACCCTCTGTTCCCTTCTCCCCTGCCGTTCCTTCCCGCCTATCTCTCTCTATTCATCTATCTATCCCCCTACCAGCTACCCACCCCACTTCGCTGCACCCTTCGCACGCCTCTCGGCTCCCCACCATTCGGCCGACGAGCTTCGCGGCGTGTCGGCTCCGACGCCCGAAGGGGCTGCTTCTCGCGTCGAAATCTCGGTTAAGCCGGCCAGGGTTGTTTGGGTTATTGCCCGGCCGGTCCTCCGTCCCTCGAAATGGAACCGTCTTTCACAGAATTCGACTGAGGACGCGCGACCAATCTCTGTTTTCATCTTTCGGTTAGATCTCTAGATCGCTAGATACTCTCAGGGTACTCTTAAGATCTAGCGATCGTCTAGCTTCGTTTATCTGTTCTCGATGCCGAGGTATGAAGGATCGGCGCGCATTTTGAAGCGAGTACCTATGGTTCCTCGTGAAGGATTGAAAGTATAATTACAAGACTCGTGACTATGAAAAGGCGATACAGTTAATGTCCCACCGATGACATCCGCATATGAAAAATTTGAGTGGGATGCAACGCCCAGGAATCTCGGCGAACTTTCGTTACCTTTAAACGTGAACTTTCCACGGCGAGAGCATGTTTTGCTTCAATTATACTAAGCGAGGAAAGAAACCAAAGTAACGAAAAGGTATGCATTGGGTACTACAACGGAGCCGGTAGGCTAGCAGTTGTCTTCGAGTTCTACCAGAGACCGGCGGTATCGTCGAATCTCCGGGTTCGAAAATATCCTGTTGCCAAGAGGTGTAACACCATCCGGACACCACCTTGGACAGCATCAAATCCTTCTCTTTCCGATCCCGAGGATATCCACGAGCGGGACGCCGGGAGACAGCCACCCTATCCCGCACCTTCCGTCCAGGTGGGTTGTCCTCGAAATCGAGACGACACGCGTATCGTTCGTCGAATTACCCGGATGCTTTAATTGCCTCCTTGGGCGAGGCTCAGCGACGGCGGAACAGAGTTCTGCCAGGCGAGAGGGGGAAAAGAGGTAGGAGGCGCGAGATGCCGAAGGAGATTGGGCAAAGGGTTGCAGCGCACTTCTGGGCTATCCCGCGCTCGCATCTACAGCTCAGTCGTGTTCCTTCTGCCTCTCTGTAAATAAGCGGTCATCGATGGATCCGGCACCGGTGCCTCCTCGCAAGGCACCACGGTTCTACCTCCCTTTCTCTCTCGCTCCCTTGTCCCCGTCCCACGTTACTTTTTCACCGTTCCCGCTTTTCTAACGCGCTATCTCGTCCGCCGTCTGTTTCTTCGTTCGCCCGTCGCTTCCTAGGTACGAACCGTCCCGTAGCATTCTTAATTACGCCTGGGTACAAGCTACCTGGGATACGTACGCCCCCGGACTTAACAGCGATAACGAGGATCGAAATTGGCAGACAATCGAGTTACTTCTCCGGGGTTTCGCGTTCTTTCGGAGTCTCGCGTTTAGTAGCAGAGAGAGAGAGTCCTATCGATTCGATAACACTTTCTCGAAGCTTATCGGCGGTTTTCGATGAACCTGTGATTTGCGTCATAAACTAACATTACTAGATCGCAAACATTTGTGCACTTATGGCAAGATATTCAGCTGCTCGCGTTTTCTATGAATATATGTATTTATCAGTCTTCGGTACTAGAATAAGATACACGAAGAGAAGCGAACCAATGCAAGGGTTGCAGAATCGTGTCCTCCGCTCTTTACAGTCACCTCACCGGTCCCGAGCAACGCGTTCGCACGGAGAGGAAGGCGTGGACTACCGTTTCGAGCGAAACTGTGCCGAACTTTTCGGCTCTGAGGATAGGCGAAACAGGTTACAGAAGAGTGAGAGAGGATTTTTATCTTTATTGCGAAGTGATTCGAGAATTCGGCCGGGAAACAACCGGAACAAGGGCCGCGACAAAGCGAAACAGAGCCGTAAGTGGCGAAAGAGCGATGCTTCCGAAGCCCGTTTCTCACGTGGCCGCGGCTGTTCGTTTCTTCGCATAAAGCGGGGCCGAAGGTGTACACGGGCGCGGTATCGGTTCTGAGAAAGGCTTATCAGCCGGTGGATATGTTAATGGCGGCCGTGTTTCCCCACCCCCTCCTCTTCTTTTCGAGATATATTACACCCTCAGCACCCGGAGGTGGTTGGTGGCAGTTGTAGGTGGTTGTAGGCGAGTAAGGTGCAGCCCTCTCGATCGGGAACGCTTGCATGCACGCGCAATTAAGAACGCTCGGAGCTGGTAACGACAATAAAAGGCACGGACTACGGCCGAACAGCGCCGCGAGAAGTTTAATACAATTTGTTAGCGGCGAACACGGTATTAAGTATTAACCGACAGATGCAAGCAGTCTTCATTAGAAAATCACTCGGTTCCGTCGTGATGAATGTCATTAACCCACTACTTCATTTTATCTATCATCCCAGCTACCATAAAATTTAACTCGCATTCAACGGAATGCTATCGTACACACCTACAGCAAAATATATAATTTCCAACCTGCACCGACGCACGGCGAACAACTAACTTTCACGGATCCGCGCGTTAATCTAAGCTTCCCATGCTCGTCTATTTCACTCAGGTTTAATCCAGACTTTCCCAGGTCCATCGGAGCCCGTCAGCGTCCACCCGATGAAGCCTTGCCATCCAAACAAGCTAGGTTCATCGTTCGAGCCCGGTCGCGAGGCGGTAGTGGATCGCAGGAGTTGGACCGTCAACGTCAAAGAAAAGATTCCCGGGGCTGGACTCCGAGGAACACCGGCCGAGAGGCGAGATCGGCTCGAGGAGCACGAGGAAGCCAGAGAGGCCCGGTTCGCGCGGCGTAGGAGCCGATGAGAAGGTTGCGACTTGAGCTCTCACTTAGCAGCCGCAGTGTCACGATCGGGACGGCTGCATTAGCATATCTCCACGGTGCAGCGTGTAGAGCAGAGGGGAAAAAGACGGTGGCTCGGGTCGGCGTAAGCGCGACGAGGATCGTAGGCGTGGCGGGGCGAGCGGCCGGCCGGGGGAAGGACAAAGAGGTGGAGGAGGACAGAAAGAGAAAAGCGAAGTGTTCATGGATGCATCGGTACGAGTGGCATGCATCTCTGGCATGGGTCGTGGCCCCGTGAAAAGAGGGCGCACACTACCATAATACGACTCTCCGAAGAACAAGACGATGCAGAAGAAGAAGAAGAAGAAGAAGAAGAAGAAGAAGAGGAAGAACAAGAAAATGAAGGTGAAGTAGAAGAAGAAGAAGAGGAAGCAGAAGAAGAAGAAGAAGAGAAGGAGAGAGGACTCACTCAGGCCTTACCAGGGCCCTGCCTGTTACCTGTACGTCGCGTGTTTGCCTACCCGCGTCACGATCAGGATCCTATTTGCATAGCGCCGATGAAGCTGCTACCGTTGCGCTCGTTTTCCTGCCACCGGTGTACACTTCTGATCGCTACGCGCCCCGGATGATGGCCGCAGGAAGCAGCTGAGCACCTCCTGCCACTGGCATAGAACGACGCCTTTGCTCTACGTTCAATTTAACCCTTTTACGGTCGAGGTAACGATCTAACGTTACTCCAGAGAACGGAGAGTTATCGCCGTCGTTAGACCGCGGATATTTGCGGCTTTATCGGTGAGAACTTTGGGAAGTTTTTCGTCGTTGATCCGAAATATCTAAATAGGGGAATTGAATGGTAGTTCGTCTTTCTATAGGGTTTCAGCTAATAACATCTACGCTAAGAATATCGATTCTTTGAGTCGAAGATTCGACGGATCCGCGTCCCAGGCGAACCTTCGCAAGGACAATTCGAAAATTTTCCGACTTGCCGGATTTCCCGGCGAGTTCACGATCCGATCTCGAGGAACTAACGTACAATGGGCATGACGGACGTTGGATCGCGCGATGTAGTACACATTGGCCACAATTTACCGAACGTCGCTCGTCCATGTCCCGATTCAATTAAACGTCGATACAATCGATCAATTCAATTCGTCCCGTTACACTTCGCTCTTCAAGATTCACCGAGCATCGCGCAAGCACACCTCATTAAAACGCAAATCTACCCGATCGATACGATATCTCCGATCTACCTTTATTCCGGACCTGCTCTCCCCGTCGTTTTCTTCGTCGATCGGCGATGGGGGAACGAGGGGGATGGGGCGGAGCGCGAGGAGGGTCGGGAGGAACGGAGAGAGGAAATCTTGTACAGACCGTCCACGTTCGTCCATCCCTTCCAAGAAGTTCAGATCACGTCGTGGAGCACATTATTCATGCAAAGCTCTTACTACGTCCACCTTCGTCTCTATCTGCGTATCAACACGCATGGCTATACATACGTGGACGTCATACGTGTATAGCGAACGCCGGCACGGTCGATTCGTGTCGCCCCCTTTGGATCTATGTGCCAGGAATCCACTGTTCAACGTCATTCACACAACGTGACCATTCATATGCCTTTTTCGGGACAGCTCGTGCGGGTTCCCATAGATGACTTGGCTACCTCTGATCTTGCCAGGGATTGTTCGCGACGCGTCGAATCAGTTTCGAAACAATGACGGTCGGAGGTTTGGAAACAAGCGAATCCGATGTTCGCCGAATCAGCTTCGAGACGATGAAAGTTTGGAAAATCGAACATGATTT